TTCATATGGGAAGGCATCAGTGGTTCCTAGCATACGTTGCTGGAAAGCATCCTAAGTCGAGCATACTGATACACCAACATATACCAGAAAGTAACTAATGACAACACGGATAGATACACAATAGGTTTACATTGCTTACACTTCGCTTTGACTCTCTCTTTCACCCAGAAGGAAAGAGGACCAACACACAGCTCCAACTTCTGACCAACGACTAACGACTCATTGTAGACCGGGCTTGCGAATACAGATATGTTTATACGTACCGCATCTTTTCTTCTCACGTCGCACTGATAGCCCCGGCACGCTCCTTGGAACTGTTGCGCGCGCTGCACAGTCGCGGCACAGGCGTCGGCGTTCACGTCCACGCAGGCGACCGCGACACCGAACTGGCACAGCTGTAGGGCGAGTTCCTTGCCTATCCCACGCCCGGCGCCTACGACCTAAGTCACGACGTGCGTTTGTACAAACATCGAAACGTGCGACAATCCGCGCTGGCGAGATAGGGCGCTCTCCAGCAACGTACACAGGCGATACTGTGCGGCACAGTGGATCGTTTCGTCTTCGTTTGCCGCTATTAAACGAGGACAAAATGATTCGCTGCGTTACACCGTACCAATCTACGTCTACTGCGCTGGCAAGCAATTATCCACCGTGAACTGGGCAGCGTTTTACCATGGCCACTTCGTAGTTGAGACTCTTCAAGGGTGGCGGCCTGAACATTCTGTAGACGGCGATCAGGATCGTGCAGCACACCCCGACGAAAAGCGTCACGAGGTCCAGGGCCAGGATGCACAGCGAGTATATCCGCAGCAGCATCTCTGGCGGCCGGATGCTTCCTAGCTTGCCCTGCAACAGGGAGATTGCGTAAACCCACGCGGAAGCGGAACGATCCCCGTCCGACGGGGGATTCCCGCGGCGGAGAGGTCCGTCTCGACGGATCGCCGTGGTCACGTACCATCTTTGCGGCGAATATAATTGTCCACCGCTAGAAAACGCGAGCGACTCCGAAGGAGAAGCCCGCGGCGGCATATAAGTACCTTGTGTCGAGTGACGCTCGTGAACTTTGTCCGGCCGGGACGCGGTCCCCCGCATCGGCGTTATCTGATACAGCTCGGCAAAGTCGACGTCGCGCGCGGAATGCGCCGCCCGATTCGGGACGGCTGGAATCAACGACCGGGACCGGCAACGAGTCCCACCCTCCCCCCGCGCAGCCAATAAGATCTCGCCGGGTCCACCATATCTAATCGGCGTTCTAACGCCTGTTACGAACTTAGTTCGCCGGCCCGGCCGGTACGGCCCTTCGAGGAGGCCGCGGCGGAGCGCGTCTTATTATCGCGCGAATTATCGCTGCGACTTCGCCGCAGACTCGCTTGCTGATACCGATCTCCGGTCCGCGCGACTTCACGCGGACGATAAAAACGGGGAAACGTCGCCGACAGTCACCCGCGATAAGATCGCGAGACGTTCGAAGAGCGTCCCGGGGTTGCGAAATTTAGAATGAAGATTGTATCTACGGGAATCGCGCTTACGCGTTGTTTACGCAGAGCTGTCTCTCGCGTGGGACAATACGCGCGATGTAAATTGTTACACAAACCGATTGGTCAATTTTTTTTTAACTGTACTTTCGCAAGCGGTAAAAGACAGATGAACGGTTTTAGACTCGGTTGTAAGTCACGAAAATCGGAGATCGCTTCCTCAGAATTTTAATTCGCGCGCGAGGCATCCTGTGCGAGGTAGCCACGTTTAAGAATGCCATTTTTCTTCTATGCGCATACAGGTTTTTGGCTTCCTTGTACCCAGTGAGAAATGATTCGCCGATCGCCCAGCGAGAAATGATTCGTC